GATCTCGGCTCACCGCAACCTCCGCCTCCTGGGTTCAGGCAATTCTCCTGCCTCAGCCTCCTGAGTAGCTGGGATTACAGGCACGCACCACCATGCCCAGCTAATTTTTTGTAGTTTTTAGTAGAGATGGGGTTTCACCATGTTGACCAGGACGGTCTCGATCTCTTGACCTCGTGATCCACCCGCCTCGGCCTCCCAAAGTGCTGGGATTACAGGCTTGAGCCACCGCGCCCGGCCCAAATGTATACTTCTAAATGAGTTGTTACTTAAGAGGCCGTATGTGTGCGTGTGTGTGTGTGTGTGTAATTTTTTTTTAATGTTGCTGTTATAAATACAGATACTTACATGTTGCCTTGCCAAGCATGGTGGCGCATGCTTGTAATCGCAACACTTTGGGAGGCCGAGACAGGAGGACCACTTGAGCCCAGGAGTTCAAGACCAGCCTGGGCAACAAAGTGAGACCTCATATCTACAAAACATAAAATAATTAGAAGTCCAGCTACTTAGGAGGCCGAGAGGATCACTTACGTCCAGGAGTTTGAGGCTGCAGTGAGCTATCATCATGCCACTGCACTCCATCCAGCCTGGACAACAGACATTGTCTAAAAAAGAAAAAAAGGAAAGAAGAATAAAAGTTGTCTTTTGGTATTTATTGACTTCAGTGGCACTGAAAATGAGCAAAAACCAAATGTAAGTATAAATATCAAATAACATACTTTGGCTCAAAAAAACAGCTTATGCGGGCAAAATACTGATCTGAAGATGGGACAACAATAGGATGGGGCTGCCAGAAAATCTGATGCAGTCTCAGGTTACATAATTGAAGTACAGTGTCCAGAATAAGGGAGGTAATTGTCTTGTTCTACTCCAAGCTGGTAAGAGCCTTACTCTATTAAACAGACAAATTCTAGAAGAGAACTAAAATATCACTTATTCCTGCTGAGAACACAGTAGGGACTCTAGCAATAAAAAAAAATAGCTATAATTTCTCAGAAAAAGAGGTATTGGTTGCTACTCTCATGCTCTATTTCATGGTGCCATCTCTCTGCTTCTACTGAGGCAATAGAGTGTTTGAAAGCATGGGCTGTTGAGTTTGCCTGCAATGTAACCTCCATTCCTCAATTTCCTTTGCTGTAAAGTGGAAACAATAGAACCTTCCTTGTAGAGTTGTTGAAAGAGTTAAGCAAGTTAGTCGATGTAAAATTACCTAGTTCCTGGCACCAGTAAGTGCCTCCTGTTACCTTGTACTAGTATTACTAGTCCTGTTGCTCCTCTGCTCTTCTAGCTCTTGTCTACTACTTCTCACATCCTTGTGTGTATTAGTCTGTTTTCTGTTGCTTATAACAGAATACCTGAAGCTGGGCAATTTATAAAGAAAAGAATTTTTTTGGCTGGGCACGGTGGTTCACGCCTGTAATCCTAACACTTTGGGAGGCCGAGGTGGGTGGATCACCTAAGGTTAGGAGTTCAAGACCAGCCTGGCCATCATGGTGAAACCCCATCTTAAAAAAAAAAAAAAGGAAAATATTTTAACAGCTATGGAGGCTGAGAAGTCCAGGTGGAGGGGCTGCATCTGGTCAGAGCCTTCCTGCTGGTGAGGGCTTTCAAGAATCCCACTGTACTGCAAGCTATCACGGCAAAGGGGCTGAGCATGCAGAGGACTCAGGTCTCTATTCCTGTTTTAAAGCTACCAGTTGTGTTCCTATGATAGATAACTCATTAATCCATGAGTAGTTGGGTTAATCTATTCATGAGCACAGAACCCTCCCTCATGATTTTTTTTTTTTTTTTTTTTTTTTTTTTT